GCATGCCTCACAAAATCTAAGCCCAATTCCTACCTGTGTTTGAGAGGAACTCTCCTCTCCTCTCCTCTCCTCTCCTCTCCTCTCCTCTCCTCATCCAGGTTAGGTTTCTGCCTCACAGCAGTGACCTGACCACCATCCCCTGTAACTGGAACAGTCCCACTTTGTAAAATATACTTAAATATTCATGGAGCCAGCTGGTGAGAGAAAAAACAATGCTCTAGTTTGGTACTTCAGTAACCCTCCTGGGGAGGGTGGAGGTGTTAGTCCCAGTCCCAGTGAATGTGTAATTATTTATACAAAGTAGAACAGTGTCAACAGGAGAAGTGACAAGTCCCGTCCCCCAAAAATTTCCTTGCAGGGATGAAGAAGGCTAAAGAAACAATAATACATTTGCCAGAAATCTGCCAGGTATAGTTAACAACAGTTTAAACAAACTCTTAAAATAATTTACAGATTATTCCTGAAATAGCTAAGCTTTTGGATGAATAGATGTTCTTCCACATCTCTGAGACAGGCCTTGTTCCTCATATTAAGTGAACAGACCTTTCATCCTCCAAAGCAAAACAGCTCTTAAAATAGAAATCATTTAGAACGTATTTTAAGATCTTAGCATCTCATAACATCATACCTCTATCCTTGCTCCTATTGACATCAGTGGAAGGAAAAACAGTATTTATATGTCCCACAAGCAGATCTGTCTCTTGGAGAATACTGCTCTATAATGGTTTGTGTCTGACAGGAATAAAGAACTCTTGAGACTTGCCTGCCAGTTGAATAGTCACGGCTGTATGGAGCTCCGGCAGTAATGTTTTTGCAGTGTGATTGCCGAAGACATCAAGCAAGGCAAGGTTCTTAGGCACAGATGAGTTTTCATTGGACCAGCTAAAAAGACAGACAACGTTTCAGGCAACAAATTCTTATTCAGGGCTAAGACAGAAGGAGCAAGCTTTAAGCTATGTGCAGGCTGAGGAGAAGTGCTCTCACTTTATCTCAATTTGTGAATTAGACAATATGTGACACACTTTTCTAACATTTTCTTACAGTTCATATGAGTCAACATTAGAGAACTCACAAAAAGCATAGATAGTTCCAGTGCATTGCTGTGATTTTTTTTCAATATGCATGTTTTGCTAAAGTCTGAACCTTAGAGAGCCATTTTGCATGTAGACGCTTAACTGTTACTGACACAAAGATGATATCTTAACTGATGACTTACTTGGGTATAACATGGCCCCTAAGCCAAAATTCTCCTGATGGCTAACATACAACAGAAGTAGGTATATAATGGGATAAAAAAGTAGGAAAACAATGAAATCTGGACCAAAAAATGAAGATGGCAAGCAACACTTAGTAGGAAGTTGTTATACTGATAGATTTGCACTTTAAGAAGGTAGGTCCCTGTGACACCTCTTCCGCCACTGCATGAGTGAAACCTGGTCCTGAATAACTCCTGCAACTACGGTGCTGAGAAGGCCTGGGTTTTCTAGCAGTGAGTCTCTGCTGAAGTCAGACATCAGAGCCATCAGCCTGGCTTTTATGGCAGCAGTGCTACAGCTACTAGCAGACAGATGAAGGGGACACAGACACCACTTCTCTGTTTGGGCCCAGGCAACATCCCATGCAGAGGTTTTAGAGAAGCAGTAGCAAGCCAGGATGGGAAGTGTGCCAAGAGCTCCTTGCTGCTCACAGCAAAGAGGAGTGTTGTGTCCAGATCTGGGGGCACAGTCACCTCTGAGTGCCCCAGGCCAAAGCCCAGAGACCTTGGTGCTGGCACTTTGTTCATCACCCTGCCTTTAATCTCCACCAAATCCCTGCTTGCTTCCAGTTGGGCTGTCAGGCACCAGGGGCTGGTTCCGTGCAGCTGGACACTGGATGCAGGCAGTGGAGGGTATAGCACAAACACCATCTCTGGTGCCCTTCTGTCCACCCTCTCCCAATTGCACAAGTGGATCATTGCCAAAAACATTTGGAGGCCTGTGGTGTGTGACATTTGGCTGTGTGGTAAATTTACCCTGGGCAAAGAGAGACACTGTTACTGCAGTGAGCTATTCAAGTCTGACCAAAGCTACTTATTTAAGGCATCAAAACAAGGAAATTGAAATAGGAACTTTTCTCAGGGCTTCCAAGCAATAAGTTTCACCTTATATGTCTGACCTAGAGACCCCTATGCCTAGCCTGACAAAAAATGGCATCAGGAATTAGAAATTCACCACCTCTGGCTTTAACAAGGGAGTAAAAAAACCTAAGAGGTTTAAAGCTTTAGTCACCAAAACCAGAGCTGTCTGAAAATTGTTTTTAAAGCTCAGCTGTAAACAGTGTAATAATTCATATTACAGTAACCATAGAGTCATATCCCTTTTGTTAGTCATACGTTTTGCCAATAAAATGACTTTCATAAAACAAAAAAAACTTCATAGAGTGTGGAAGGTCTTTCAGGGGACTGTATGATTAAAGCACAGTATTGTCTGACATCTGGAAAGAAATTCTTGACTGTAGAACAATATATGAGCTTTAACCTTTAAAAATATATTTCCAGATAAAAGATTTTCAAAGAAAATTTTGAAGGAAAGCTGCTGTAAAAGCAGAGAAGTCTCTGTCTTGAAACTTGGAGATGGAAGGGACACAGCAGATTTTTGCATCTATAAGTCCTATGTAAAAACTATGAAAGAACAAGCAGCTGTAGCAAGATATAAGAAACCATCAGGTGATATTGTGATAAATTTCTCAAAAGTTAAGGAGTTAAATATTACGTAGGCTCTGGCAGATGGAAGGAGAATGACTGAGCAGCAAGAACTGCATTGAACCTGGTATATGTAGCTAATATAACAGGTGAGCAAGTAAAAATTGGTGCAGAATCTGTATTAAGATTTAGACAAAAGAAGACGTGTGGTGAAAATATATCAACCAGGAAAAACAGCTTGGAAAGTATAGCAATATGTCTATCCAGATTCTGAGCTAAAGATGAACAAAACTTAGATTATTACAACAAATGCAAAAGTGTTAATACTTCTAAAGCCATAGCAAGGAAATGCAGAATTACTGAATCTGCTGGCATCTTTCCTGTGTGGGGCAGGTCAGCATCTCAGGCCCTTTTCTTTAGGAAGAAATCACAAATTCTGTCAAAGAGAGACTGAGGCAATAGCAGTGGTCATAAAACTAGATGCTAACACATTTTTCCAGCACCACATTCCTATTGAAATTCAGTGTGAAACTGGCACACAAGTCTAACTGGTGTCTTTCGAATATGCTCCAATGCCTCTCCTCTACCTTACTAAATTCCTTGAGGCAGGGTCACACAATTTACCCAGTGTTACAGAGAAGAAATGGAGGCACAACTCTATACATATATTCTGAATACAGTGTATTTTACTTTTGCAGTTTGGAATGTGGAAAAAGCTAATTGCAGACATTACAATATGTACAGAAACGCAGTGAGCAAGTGTAGCAGATGCATGTATTTTTGGAGAAAGCAGCATTTCTCTGTTCCTCTCGCTGATCTGCTGTGTGCACCATAGCACCTTCCACAAAACCCAGCCCAGCTCAGGAAACAGACTTTGGGCTAAGGGCATGAGGGCACCTGGCCTTGGCAAATGAGTGTAGTAAGCCACTGCCTAGCTGAGGTGAAGGCATCCTTCAGACTGGCTGTCACTGGCCAAGTGCTCCCAGGAAACAAACTCCGCTGCTGGCCCAGGTCTCTGATGTGCAGGTGGTGCGGATGTAAAACTCTCTGCAGTTCTTCAGGTTTGGCTTGTAGCTGCTTGTCTTTGGGTTTCTGATCTGGGTTTTCAACCATGACTTCCCAACTCTGTCCAGCTCTGCTCCTGACTGTGGGCTGTGGCTGCGGGATGCTGGGCTTAACCTGTCTCGTTGCCTCAGCTTGCTCTCCTGGTGGTAGAGGATATAAGGCTGGGATGGCAGGGCTGCACAGCAGAAAGATGGGATCCCTTGAGGTCTGTGGCTGTGCAGCTGCAGGATATGGGAGGATGAAGGTTTTGCATATAGCTTGGAGAGCCATGAAGCCTGGCACCTCTGCATCATTTTTTTTCCCCTCCCGTAAGTCTGTGGTGTCACACGAATTCTGTGTAGGCTTAAGATAACTATTCAAATGAGCATTGGTGAGAACATCGCACTGTAATGCCAGCTGAACCAGAGAATTAGTCTGGAATATTGCCTGCAGTAGTCAAAGCTGAGCAACAGCTTAAAACTATTTTATTTTATTTTGTTAACAGCTAGTCCCAAAGCAACTGATGATACTTCTGAGACTTGATCTCTGCATGAAAGTAATTTAAGGGAATGTGGAAATTTTCAGGAAAATTCTCTGAGTTCAGAGATAATATGGGGAAAGTTATATTTCCCCATTATTTTCCTGTTTCTTCCATTATGTTCCCATCATAAAATAAAGATCTTTGAATGTACAATCGTAAGTGAGGTCTGAAATTTGAGACTTAGCATCAGCATACCCTGTAGATGGTTGTCCTTCCTGCTTATAAAGGGCCTTATGAAAACCCTAGGGTTCAGTGAATGCTTTGGTAATTTGTGTAAGAGGAATTGTAAATATTTCACTGAAACTCACCCTGCTAAATCCTCTAGAAGAGTGTTGTAGATGAGAAAACTCCCCAACGCGTGAAACGTTTCTGTTCTTACCGTGTCACTAGAAAGAGTCACTGTTTACTGCATTAAGTCGCTGTTTACTGCATTAGCTATAATCTAATGAGATGCTTCCTGTGGCAGATCCAGGGCTGGAATAGCTGGACAGATTGTGGTGCTTCTATTATTAGAAGCCTGTTATGTTTGACATTGAGCATAAAAGATGGGGCTTGCACTGCAGAACATTTCTCAGACTCTTAGTTGAGAGTAAATCCCTGCAGTTGTTATCAGAAAATACGGTCAGGCCTCCAGATTCTCATTGATCAGACTTGCAAGTCAATCAGTCATGTTGAGATATGCAAAATCTGTTCACAAAGAAATGATGACTGATATCCTAAGAACAAAATCTGATGAGAAAAGACAATAAATCTTGCTATTACCAAAGCAAATTCTCAGAGTCTAGAATTTCACTCCCAAGGATATTTTGTATGTAGGTAGGTTATGTGTAGACTTAGTTTATATAATGTGTCTGAAACATCCAGAAAAGCTTTATCTGTAGATAGAATGTGTGGGGAAATAAGTACATTCGGTTTTCAGTGGTATGTCAGAATAAATTGATCATTATGCTATTATTGGATTCAACTGAACGTACAGGCATGATTGCATGTTGCCGCATTTTGACTATACCTCAGGTGGGAGGTAGAGTTATTTATTCCTCTTCAGTGCTAATACAACCAATGGTACAAGACAGGAAGAGAAGACTATCGAAAGGCCACAGGTAGTTAGGAAGTCAGTTGTATGTCCTACCTGCGTGACAGCAGGACGCATAGCTACACAATGATGTTAACAAAACTCAGGCAGGGCATTAGTATGGCACTGATGCAGAGAGAAGCGCCCCGTGTACAGCACAGACGGGCTTACTATCTGCTCCACCTTCGTTTTTCTTGGAGAACTTTCACCCACATTTGAGGCAGTTGTCAGAGCTCAGCTTGCCCTGAAGGAGTCAGAACTAAACAAATATGGCTTCAGGCTTCAAATTTGAAAAGAGAAGGTGATGAGATGATAGTAAAGTTGGGTTAGAAAGTGTGGAGAAATAAACGTCTGGGGAAAACATTTCTGAAAGGAAGAAAATAGCATAATAAAGAAACTCAGAAACACTTTGATGAGATGCTAGTTCTGCATCCGTGCAGTGAGGCTGCTGACTTGCACAGCTTGTGCCAGCACAAGATGTATGGGTCATTGGGCGGCTTGCACAGGAGCTCATACTGTAAAACACTTTCCCATATGTTGGTGTT